AGAATAGAATAGAATAGAATAGAATAGAATAGAATAGAATAGAATAGGTATATACATATATAAATCAAATTTTCCTTTATTATATGTAAATATATATATGAAGGGTCTTTCAGTTTGTAATGACACCAGGGTTCAAATACAGATATGTCAACTGCAGAGCCCCTCGGCTCCCCTTTCACCAGGGCCTCTCAGACCTCAGTGTATATCAGATTCCACTGAAGGGTTGGCTAAAACAGACCATGGGCCCATCCCAGAGTTCCTGAGGGAATAAGGCTGGAATGGAACATCCTGGGTAATACCAATGGCACTACTCTGGAATCTCTACTTTCTACTGTGTCATATCCTGGTCTAGGCCCTTCTTCAGTGTCTACCTAAATTACCTAAAGTCTTTGTTCTATGGCTTATACGTATGCTTTCATACAGGTCGTGTAAGAGCCATGAATAATATCTGAACCAATAAATGACTACAGAACCCTAGCAAGCAGTTTAGAACAGACCCATATATCCGACCCTTGCTCGCCCATCACATTGAAAATATTAGTACAGCTCTCTGTATTAGAGGTGACACCAAATGATTGTGGACTGTTATTTCCTGTCTTCTCAGGAGTTGGTTTATTAGAAAAATATACCTCATGTTGTAGTACCAGATAATTAACTTAGCAGTACAGAGGGCTTCCGGCAAACGAAATGTTTGCTCTCCCTCCTGAAGTCAGCCCAAGAGGAAGTATAGTCTCAAAGATAATCTACGGAGAAAAATGAAACCACACACACACATGACGTAAGGCAGGCAGACGCCCGTCAGAGGAAGGACTGTTGATATAGCACCATCCCACATCCTGACCCTCCCTGGGCCCTTTGTCCGGAGTGAGCCAGGTGTGTAATCTGATTCTGTGCTGTGAGGAGCCTTTTGTCTTTGAGCCCATACCTTTGGCAAGTGTTGCCAGCAGGCTGCAGGCTCCTCGGGACACCACTCCGCTCCCGTTCCATGCCTGATGGTGAGAACATTGCTGTCGCTCAGAACCTCCTGTTGATAAGTCAGTTCTCCAAGGCTCCAGTCCCCTGAACTAGATGAAGGATTTAAATTCTATTTTCAGGAATTAAGGTTTTATGAGCGTAGTACGATCCCATAGTAGACACCCTTCTTAAGATGTAGTCATCAGCAATTTATTAAGGCCTCTCTGTCTCAAAAATGAACTGGATAGAAAATAAATCAGACCAGTCATTAACATCAAAAACTGAATCACTAAAGTTAAGTCCTAGGCTGAAGAAACGGCCCTGCTGTTAAGAGCACAGCTGTTGCTCTTTCGGGGGTCCTACACTTGGTTTCCAACACCCACATGGCAGGTCACAACCACCTGTGGGGGTCCAGTACCATCTTCTACATCTACTATACACAAGGGCACTATACGCACATGGTACACAGACATAGAAGCAGACAAAACACTCATACATGTAAGATAAAAATAAATCTTTAAAAATAGATAAATGTTACTTTAAAGAATCACAACCAAGAAAAATGCAGATGATGAAGACCGTGGTTTATCATGGAAATGCAAGAAGTACTAATAGACCATCTTCTAGGAAAATGTACTTACTCCAAAGTTCCTGTGGCATTAGCTGGCACAGCAATCCAGTATAGGATTCCAGCCATGAATAGTCAACTGGTATGATGAGTTACATGTGCATATTTATATAAGAAGTCTTAAGGAAAGAACTGGAGTGAGGGCTCATGGCTGTGTGGAAATTTAACTAGGTAAAGATACTCCCTGGGTTTTTTGTGTACTCTAGTGTAAATGGCTCCTTCTCCCATGGCTGAGGCCAGCAGCCCTGGATGTACATGTAGCTGCAGTGAGGATAGAGAGGGTGTTGAGATCTGAACAAAGACTCTAAGAAACCACGTGCTTGAGAACAGTTTTCTGAGCAGTGTGTGCGAGCCCAGGCACAGCAAAGTACTTAAAGAAAAGCAGCCTAAGAGAGTTCCAGCTAAACCCAGAACTGTCCCCTAGACGTCTAGCCTCGAGCTGAGGGCTATGACTGTGCTTTTGAGACAGTCACAGGCAAAATGAGGGCAGTCCTCTCCTCTAGCCTAGCTTTCCTTTCAGCCTTAAGCTGTACTCATTCCATGACTTTCTTTGCCATGGTTGCTCTTAGTGATGCTTCCCTTTTTCCTTACAGGCAGACACCCCCATCACGCCTGGGATCGCAAGTACAGTTGAATGTGGAAGCCCTCTGCCAAGAGCTTACAGCTAACATAGTGAAATTAGAAAAGGTGAGTCGATGTGTGTGTGTGTGTGTGTGTGTGTGTGTGTGTGTGTGTGTGTGTGTGTGTGTGTGTGTGGCAATCTGGTCATTCCTTTCAATTGCTACTGGCCACTGCCCTCCCACCCCCACTCAACCCCCCAGATAGTTTTCCTCTGTAACCACCCTGACTGTCCTGGAACTCACTTTGTGGACCAGGCTGGCCTAGAACTCTAGAACTCAGAGACCTACCTGCCTCTGTCTCCCAAGTGCTAAAGGCCTTTATTTTTATAAAGGAACAAAATTTAATCTCATTTTCTGCAAAGTAAAGATTTGGTTGGTCTCTCATGTGTGTCCTTGACTGGACATGAGAACACTGGAAAGTGGCCATTGACACTGACCAGCCACGGAGTGGAATCCCCGCTTACAAAAAATACCGTGCTTAACCCCTGTTACTGCCTTGGCTCATAAGGAGAGAGCCTTGTTCAAGGAGGCAGAGATAGATGGTGAACTGGGGATCTAGAATTTGAACCTCTGGCCAAGTGTAGTTATAAGTTGTCTGCTTGTTTTAGGGCCTGGAGAGATGGCTCAGTGGTTGAGAGCACTGACTGTCTTCCCGAGGACATGGGTTCAATTCCCAGCACCCACATGGCAGCTCACAACTGTCTGTCACTGATCCAATACCCTCACATAGACGTATATGAAACACCAGCTCTTGGGAGGCAGAGGCAAGAAGATCTCTGAGTTCGAGGCCAGCCTCGTCTACAAAGTGACTTCCAGGACTCTGTGTAAGCCAGAGCTACACAGAGAAACCCTGTCTTAGGAGGGGGAAAAGTCCTCTGCTTGGGACTGGCTCAGTGGTAGAGCTTGTCCACCACTCAAGAGGATGTGGATTCAATCTTTACAGTAAATAAATGTGTCTTTGCGAGTGAGACCACTCATGCTTCTACCTGCAAAGCATCTTCCCTGGCTCAGCTCTGTCCTTAGCTTAGGGCATTCTTAGATTTAGGATGATAAGAGGGTGAATGAGGAGAGGATAACCATTCATAAATATCTTGGAGTTCCACCTGATTCCCAGGGCAGTTTTAATATTTCAGTCCTTTCACACTCAGTAAGTCGTTGGTTGGTTTTGCACTAATCCTTTACCTGATGCTCTCCAGAATGGGGCGCTGTTGTTTTTCAGTCTTACTCCTTCTGACTTGTAAATTTGTTCTTTGGATCAGAAGCACACAGAATCCTTTCACCTTCCCTTGCCTTTCTTCCTCCTCTCCCACCAGGCCCTGCCAGGACACCGAGTTCTGTAACAAGGGAACAGAAAACAGAAAGGCGTGTTCATATTGGCAGTTGGCATGTCTGTGTGGGGCTCAAGCCCAGCCCAGCTGGGCAGCTAGGGAGGCCGCCAGAAATGAAAGATGACCACTTGTATCCCAAAGCAGAGGCTGTACAAAGATTTAGGCCAAAATGTTCCCAGAAGCGGTTGAGCAGCTGCCTGGCACAGCCTGGGAATGGAGAGGCCATGATACACTGTGGGAAATTCGGAGACATGACTCAGCTCTTTGCAGCAAATCCTTTCCGCTGTCAGAGACTGGACATACATAAGCCTCATGAACATTCCCCAGCTCTGACTGCCCTGTTTCCGTTCATGGTTGTCACTGCTCTTTAAGTCACCCTCACAGGAAATCCAAGAGTAATTCCCATCTGCTCCCCAACTCAGGTCCACCCCCAGCTATCCCCACATTCTCTCAGTCACACCAGGCTGGTGGCCCTGACTACCCGTCTGGCACTGTGAAATTGAACCCCACTAGGACTGTTCTTTATACGTTCTGTTTATTATTATGGGATGTGAGGGGGTATAAGGAGTGTATACACATGTAGTCATCAGAGAACAACTTTTGAGAGTCATTTCTTTCTTCACTGGGTTCCAGGAACCAAGGTCAATAAAGTCACACCCCAAGCATTTTTATCCACCGAGCCATCTCCATGGCCACTGCTTACATTTTCTAATACCCCTGAAAATCAGCATTTTGTATATTTACTGGCCTCTGGAGGTTTTAGCTGCTGGTTGTTTATTTATCTTTTTTTGTTGTTGTTTGGGTTTTGCTTCTGTGTTTGTTCCTCTTTATAGGTATGTTTACGTATGTTGGGTGTTTATTTCAGTCCCTTTCTGCTCCAGCTTTTTTCACCTATCCTTTTCTCCTGAGAGTTAGACAGGGCAGATATGAAGCGGAGCAAAGGCTTTTGGTTTTGTTTAGGTTTGTTGGGTTTTTTCCTCCCATATTTGTGTGTGTGTGTGTGTGTGTGTGTGTGTGTTGGTGTGTATGTGTGTGTGTGTTGGTGTGTATGTGCGTGCCTGCAAATGTGGAAGTCAGACAACGATTTGTGGGAGTCTGTATGGGATTCAGGGATCAAACTCAGATTGTCAGCCTTGGCAACCAGGACTGGCCTCTAAACATCTGACACAGAATTGAGAATAACTACAGGGCCTTCGTGATGGTCACAGGTAAAATAAGACTGGTCCACTGTCCTAGTTTCCTTCTCTGTTGCTGTGAAAAAACACTGGCCAAAAGCAGCTTGGGATAAACAGGCTTATTGCAATTTACAAGGTACAGTCAGTCATCCAGGGAAGCCGAGGCAGGAACTGGAGCAGAGAACAATGGAGGAAGGAGTGCTGCTTACTGGCTTGCTCAGATTCTTCCTTCCTTCCTTCCTTCCTTCCTTCCTTCCTTCCTTCCTTCCTTCCTTCCTTCCTTCCTTCAGACTTATTTTACTCTGTGTGCATGAGTGTTTTGCCTGCATGTATATAAGAGTACCTTGCGTGAGCCTCGTACCCAGGGAGGACAGATCCCCTGGAACTGGAGTTGTGAGCCACTATGCGGGTGCTGGAAACCAGGTACTCTGCAGAAGCAGGAAGCACTCTGACACACTGTGCCATCTCTCCCACCCCCATTTTTTTTTTATTTTTTTAAATGTTTTATTCTATGTATCTGAGTGTTTTTACTGTGTGTATGTGTATGAACCACGTGTAAGCAGTGCATGCAGAGGCCAGAAGAGGGAGCTGGACACCCACCCAGTCCCACCTCCCTGCAAAGCTGGAGTTAGAGACAGTTGTGAGCTAGCACTTGGGTGCGGAGAACTCAGGTCTTAACTACTTCTCTTACACACCCCAGGCCCACCTACCTGGGAATGGCGTCGCCCCCTGAGCGGGGCCTTCCTGCATCAATTAACAATTAAGAAAACGCCTCACTGACAGGGCCACAGGCCACTCTGATGGCGGCAATTCCCTTTTCCCGGGTGCCTCTAGGTTCGTGACAAGGTGAAGGGGAAGCTAGCTGTGACACCTCCTGAGCCGTTTCCCCACCTCAGAGCGCTTGAAATCTTATTTGTATCTTTTAGGGTATGAGTGTTTGCTGGCATGTGTGTACACCCCGAATGTGTGCAGGTAACCCTTGAGGGTAGAAGTCATTAGATCACCTGGAACTGGAGTTACGGGCACTAAGCCACCTGATATGGATGCTAGGAACCAAACCAGGGTCCTCTGCAAAAGCAGAAAGTGCTCTTACCTGCTAAGTCATCTCTCGGGCAGCAATGTCCCCTCTCCCCCAGTGGGTGAAGAAGTAATTATTTCCTTAGGAGGATGCAATAGGAAGAATATAAATTTTAGAGTCATGTTTTTGTTTTCATTCTTACGCTGTCGCTTGCTACCTGTGCGTATGGTCCTATAACTTATCCTCCCGTCCTCATTTCATACGTAGACCCTGCCTCTGTATGGGGTGGCATGGTCGAGGTGAGAGAACATGAGTGCCCACGTGTGCATGTTGGAGCCCCTGTCCTTTTCCTTGCCGTGAGCATGCTGTTGGTTGTCACAGCCTTTCTCCGAGCAGCGTCTTAGTTTGTTGGGCGGTCTCAGTTTGCTATCGTTTAATCCCACAAATTGGGTGATTTATAAAGCTCTTAGGCTGGAGGCTGGCAGGTTCAAAGTTGGGGGTGGTGCACATACTTGTCAGAGGACTTCCTGCTGATGGGAACTCCATGATGAGACAGAGCAAGCTTGCGACCTTGGGTATCTCTTCCTATCAAACCACTAATGCAACTGAGAGTAAAGCCCCACCTCAAAGTACCGTGGTCATAGGACTTTGGGAATTTTGTTTCAACGTGAGTTTTGTAAGAGGGACACAAATACCAGGCCATAGATGAAGGCTATGTTCTTCTTTGACCACGGGGTTCCTCTGCTCCCATTCATAACACTTGCGCTTCAGAATCCCTTACTCTGAATTATTTTTTGTTTGTTTGCTTTGTTTCGTTTTGTTTTTTGGTTGTTGGTTTGATTTGGTTTGGTTTTGTTGTTGGTTTTTTGTTTGTTTATTATTGTTGTTTTGGAGGTTTTGTTTTTGGTTTGGTTTTGTTTTTTGAGGCAGGGTTTCTCTGTGTAACCCTGGCTGTCCTGGACCTCACTATGCAGACCACATGCTGAGGTTAAAGGGGGACAACACCCTTTTGCTCTGAATTCATCAAAACTCCCTTATTTTGTGTTTCTTGAGAGCGTTTTCATGCCCAACTGTGGACAGTAGTCTTCAGGTCTCTCTGAAGTCAGTATGTGGATAGGACACAAAGTAATGTGTAAAAGAGTTGCTAAACATTATGACACATCTGCTACTTAAAACCACGGAACGGAGCTTTATTTAAATGTAACCTCTGTGTAGCCTTTTATTCTAGGTAGAAAAAATGCCCTGCATTTCCAGGCCATAGCAAATGTACTCTTAAGACACATATTGTACTTTATAACAACAGCATCTCTTTTTATTGTCTCAAGATACAAAACAACTTACAAAAGCTGCTCGAGAATGGTGACTGAGAGACCAGCTGCTGGGGCCAACCTAATACCTCACGGTTTCCCTCGAAGAAGGTGCTTCCCGACAGTCTGCCGTGCGCCCCCTGCTGGCCAGAGGCGCAAGAGACTGAGAATCCAGATGTGTGTGCTCGGAGGTCTCTGGTTCAGTAATGGGGGAAGGAGGGGAATAATCTTGCTTTCGTGCAATAAAGGTTGACCTTGTCTCTGCTGCTGCCTGAAGAAAATAGACCTGTCTCGGGAGGTGAGCAAGGTCCCGGAGGACCCCTGTAGCGCTGGGGTTATGGTAATGGTTTAGTAATACAGCAAGCACTCCATGCTCTTCAACTCTCCCAGCCGCCCCTTCACTCCCTTCACCCGCCCCAACCAACCTTCACACCTAAGGGGGTACACGGTATACCAACAAACTCAATATGGTCCTCTAAGGAATTAGCCAGGAGCCACCAACAAGGCGGTGAATGTCTCCAAATGGGCAGGTTTGCTTCAAACACCTGCGTTTTTGTCCAGTGTTTCTCCGGCTCACCCTGCCAAGCCCCGCCCCACCCTATTCCACCCTACCCACCCCCACCCCCTGACGCCGCTGCCATTGCCTTTTTGCCTTATATTCTGTTTTCTTTCATCTACCCGTTTTAGTTTTTCAACTCAATTTTGTAAGCGTATCTGGTAAAGGGAATTAAAAGCCCCATCTTTGTTGTGCTGCCTTGTTCCCATGTCTAGTCCTTAACTGGAGTGATTTCTCCCCCCACCCCCACCCCCGCCTTTGATCAGGAATCTTTGAGGTGTGTGACTGAAATACTAAAGTAGATTCACTCTGAAACCAAAACTAATCTTTAAGCCAAAAGTTGTCGCAGTAATTTAATGTGCATTGGAAAGCACCGTTTCTAAGATTGTAAATGGACTATGGTAGCAGCTTTGAAACAGGGTGTCTGTTGGACTCTCAAACCCATTTCAGCGTGGTAATTGATGCTTTCTCCTACCATAAAGCAATAAGTGGTGGTTTGCTAACCTTACTTACAGGATGGATAGGCTGGTTTTTATTAATAATTATTTAGGGTGCCGTAAGATCTGTAAGTGTAAAACATTCTATCTGCAATGCATTTTATAATCATTTCTATGAAATGTATTTTGTTTAATCGGATAAGCTAATAAGTGGATTGGTTATGTCCTTCGTATTTGTCAGCCTGCTGGGTAGCTGTGCCTGGTGCACTGGCTTTTAATAAATAACTCATTGCCTAAAACTCTCTGGTCAACACTGTTTCCTTACAGAATTTCCTTAGGTAAATTCTCTTACCTAAGACTTGCTGTGATTTTTAAGTCTCCTCACCTCCGAACTATGACATTCAACTTCACGCTCACCACCACCACCATGGAGTATTTATTCTATAAGCTAGAAAAAAAAAAAAAAAAAAAAAAAAAGGTTTAAGTTTGTTGGGTTATAATGGTATCAAGGAAAGAAAATGAGCTTTGAAATCAGTGGACGGGTGCTTGATTCCTAGGTTTGATTGACATTTTATGAGATGTTTGCCCTTAGTCAGGAGAGTTTGCCATTCTCTCTCCCGTTTTAATAATAAGGCTGGAGGTACCAAAAAAAAAAAAAAAGCGGGCCCATCAGCGGCGATTTCTCCCCATTTGCGCTCCACCTCCTCAAGCCCTGCAGCAGGGGATCAAGCTTAGGCAGGTCTTTTGCCCAGATGGATTTGTGTGTTTGAGGCAGAGTGGCTCAGGCTGGCTCCAACTCCGTATTCTGCCAAAGGTGACCTCGAACACCCCGTCTTCCCGCTCTGCCTCTGGAGTGCTAGATTACAGGTGTGTAACTCCCACATCCCAGTTCATGCAATGTTGTCAGTGCCGGACAGGCGCTCTTTCAACTGAGCTGCATCCGTAGATCCTAAATGAATTCTGGAATGGGCCTTTTTAATTACATTTTATTTATTATTTATCTACAGTGCGTGTCTCTGTGGGGTTTTTTTATTGTATTGATTTAGCCTCTGTGTGTGTGTGTGTGTGTGCGCGCGCGTGCGTGCGTGCGTGTTTGCGCACACTACAGCAAGTGTGTGGAGGTTGGAGAACAACATGTAAGGGTCAGTTCTCTCTCTACCACGTGAGTGCCAGAGATTAACTCAAATCACCAGCTATGACCGCAGGCGCCCTTACCTGATGAGCTATCTCTCCCATCCCCTGAGTGAGGCTTTTTAAGGAAGTGACAGCATATATAAATATTTCAAGGGGCTTGAGTCCCTTGAGTATTCATCTTCCTTGTACTTCGATGTTAACAATAACCATTAATTTAAAAGAACAAATGAAGCCGGGTGCAGTGGCACACACCTGAAATCCCAACACTCGGGAGGCTGTGGCAAGTGGATCTCTGTGAGTTCAAGGCCGGTGTGGTCTACAAGGAACAGCCAAGGCTCTACAGAGAAAACCCCCATCTCAAAAAAACTAAGTAACTAACCAGATAGATAGATAGATAGATAGATAGATAGATAGATAGATAGATAATTTTTTTTAAAGTGAGGGGCTTGGAAGATGAACAGCGAGTGATTGCCACAAAACATGAGGACCTAAACTGGATCACTCAAATCTACACAAAAAGCTAGGCACGGTGGCACATGCCTACAATCCTGGCACAGGGAAGGCAGAATCAGTGAATCCCTGAGGCCTGCTAGCTGGCCCATTCAGTGGCAACAGTGAGCTCCAGACTCAATGAGAGACCCCATCACAACAATGAGGGAGACAGTCAAATCTGGCCTCCAGCCTCCCTCCCAACACACACACACACACACACACACACTCACGAACACAAACAAAAAATGAAAGAAAATAAATGATACAAAAGTGAGTTTCTAAAGAAGAATTTGATAAGCATTTGGGACAAGTCACATGAAAAACTCATTATTTCCCTTCCCAGGGGCCATGTAATAGTTGGTAGGAATCTCACCTGTACATCAACTATGGCCTCGAGAGAAAGGTGTTGGAAATATCCCACCCTCCCCCCTGGCTTAGTCAAAGAAGGAAAGAACATGGCTAGAGAACGGGCACCTTCTCCTTGTACATAGAAATGGTTCAATAAACTTTGCAGTGATGGAGGTTCGGGCCTCACTATGTAGCCCTGGATGGCCTGAGACACCAAAGGCTGAAAAGCTCTCAGCTTCCTCTTGGATCTCTGCCAGGTAAAAATATCTCCACATGGCCACACCTGCTATCAAAGTAAATGCGTAAAACCAAATGCATAGTCTTCCTGGAAAAATACAAGTTTGTTTTTTTTTTCAATTTTCAAATGAGTGTTTTTATGATCTTTTGTTCTGGCACTTTCAGGCTTACTGTGTATGGGCCATTTCCCAACATTTAGGTAAACTTTAATGAATCCGACAATGGCATTTATAAAGGACAGACTATGCCAGCCCCATTCTCTGCTTCCAGCTTCTTAAGAAGTGCTGGCGGGAGGAAAGGTGGCTCAGTGGTCCAGAGCACTCGCTGCTCTTTCAGACAGCCTGCATTTGATTCCCATTACACAAGTAGCTGCTCACAAACTGTCTGTAACTCCTGCGCCAGGAAATCCGATGCCCTTTTCTGGCCTCCTTGGGTAACAGGCACGCACATGCACAGACATATGTCAGATAAAACAGCCATACACGTAAAAATTAAATTAAACTAACACCTATAAAATCATACACTCAGAGCCGGACAGATGTTTCAGTTGTTAAGAGCACTTGTTCACCTTGCAGAGAACCCAAATTCAGTTCCCTCTGTACAGGCAGCAGCACTCACGTGCTACGTGCTCACACATACGTATACCCATAATTTGAATTACAAATAAACCTTCAAAATTGTACACCTTTTCCCATGTTAATCTCCTCTCTCTCTCTCCCTCTCTCTCTCTCCCTCTCTCTTTCTTCTCAGTTTAATTCACAGAAAACTAGTGAACTAAAAATTTCCCCAAGGAAATTTGTCATTTATCCATTACCACAAAATTAGAAATAATTTTGTATATTCAGTTCAGATCTGGACCAGCCAAAGACCTTGACATCCCCAGAAGTCCAGGGATGAGAAAGCTTGAAGAAAATAACCTTCTCAAACCCGGTGATGTGGAAGCCGGAATGCAAAGTTCTAAAGAGCTAAGATCACAGATTTGGAACCCCAAATCTCTAGGTTCAAAACTCTCTTTTGTGAATTGCTAATGGTGAGATTTGAAGGATTTCTGTCTTGGGGGCAGTGACAGACAGTTATTGAAGACTTGAAGGAAATTCCACTCGATACTGAGCCTAGGGACATGGTAATACAGGGTCGTGCCAAGCAGAAGGCTGCTGCACTGAGGAATGTGAGCCCAGCTTCACCCATTGGGATAGTGGTTCTCATCCTGTAGGTCACGACCCCTTTGGGGGAGTCACATATCAGATATTCTGTACATGAGATATTTACATTATGATTCATAACAGTAGCAAAATGACAGTAGCAACAAAATAAGTTTATGGTTGGGGTCACCACAGCATGAAGCACAGTATTAAAGGGTCCCAGCATTAAGAAGGTCGAGGACCACTATAATAGAATGTTCCACACTTGCTCCTCTTCAAGAAGAGTGGTGGCGCACACCTTTGCACCTTTAATCCCAGCTCTCGGGAGGCAGGGGAGGTAGAGCTCTATGAGTTTGAGGCCGGCCTCGTCTACTGTGAGAGTCTCAGGCCAGCCAGGGCTACATAGTGATACCCTGGCCAAAAACAAACAAGCAAACAAAAAAAAAGAACCCAGCTGCTTCTTGCTCATTAGCCATCGTGTCCCTGAGCCATCTTGTCAGCTCTAGATATTTTTTTTTCTTACAATCACTTAATAAAACAACTGCTAAGTGTAATAGTCCTAAATCTTTAAATCTTAGACAGACCTGATTTTACGCAGGTACACACAGGAATGCATACATGTCCACAGACAGACACACATACCTATCTCATGATTATTCCAGGCTTGCAGGACTGTAGCTAAAGCCAGCAGCCACGTGCTAGATCTTGCATGTAACAAGGAGGGGAGTGAGTGGGGACTTCCAGCCTGGCCTCCCTCGGGTTGAATGTGAGAAGGGCCTGAGGTCTCTTTTCTCACTCCCAACCAAGCAGAGCCTTCCAGTTAACCAACCTGAAAATAAATTTATCTTCTCTAAGGCTTCTGTAAACTCTGGGACTGGACACGCTGTGAGTTAATCAGCCCACGGTTTGTTTTGTTCCGGGCGACAAACTGCCACTAAAATACGCCAACCTTGTCTCCCAAAACATTGCAGTGGTTTTTTTTTTTATTTGTTTGTTCATTTTTTTTTTCTCTTGAGCCTATGGCATCTGACCAGGCAGGCTGCTGCTGTAAGTCTCCATGTGGAAATGGCAGCCCACAAACCAGGCCACTGGTTGGCACATGCAGTAGCTCTGAGGTCATTCAGGGGTCAATTGAAAACTGTGACCAAAGGAAAACAATGATGTGAGGATAAGCGAGCACCCTGACCCTATGTCTCTCTCTGATCTACCCAGGAAGCCCCCTAATTGTCCCCTATCTACCAACCGCAAAGCAGAATGACACCTTCAAACTGGTACGTAGAAGACTAGGCTATTGTTCTGGGTAAACATGAAGTTATATGGCATCGTAGGCAACAAGAACAGGTCAGCATTGTGCTTTTAAGATATTATAATTTAATTAACAATATTAGCATGAAGCACAGATTATATTTTTATCTTCTGTGAGTACTTTACACAGGACAGCCAGCACCAGTAAAAGGCCTGTTTATGTGTCTTCGCTCACTCCCAAAGGAAGTACTTCCAAACATTCAGGGAGATGGCAGCTTGTTCCCAGTTTACAGCGTGTTGGTTGGGGATACAAAGTCTAACTCCAAATAACCCGACCTTTTGTCTCTAGGGTCCAGGATCACTCAGGGGAAAATGTCTTTATTTTAATGATCCACAACTACAATGAGATAAAAAAGACTCCCAATTATAGGATTATGCTAAATGAACATTCCTGTGGGGGAGGTTATTCACTTAAAAACAAGAAAAGACTTTTCCCATCAAGCTGAGGCTCGGCAATCTGTTGTTTATGGGATGGCTCACGGACCAACCCCTCCCCACTATCCACACATCATCCCCCACAACATCCACTGCCACCACCCCGTAAGGAAGGACATGGCTTGGTCGGTAGAGTGCACTAGGCTCTGGTCTCCATTTCCCAGCACCTCATAGCTGAGTCTTGTGGTGCACACCTATAGCCCACG